AAGGAGAAAAAAACACAAAAAACCAACAAGATATTCCAAATAACACTATCTGCTAAATGACCAGAGGCTGAGATACGTAAATATCGTTCTATTAGAAGAAAGACAGTTCGACTAACATGCAAGACTCCCAAATATGTCACTTTTCAAAAAGGAGAGAGGTGGAGTCTCTTGCATGAAAAGCAATCGATTTCTTAGTTTGTCTGTATCAAACACTAAAGAGAAAGAATAATAAAACCCAACAAAATATTCCAAAGAACCCTGTCTGCTAAATGACCAGAGGCTGAGATACATAAATATAGCTCTATTAGAAGAAAGACAGTTTGACTGTTAAGTGCAAGACTCCATCATATGTGAGACAGCGTGGTGAAATCAGGCCCTCGTCAAAATACTGAAATGGAAGAAACCGGTATTTTTCTGTCCGTTCCTAAATTTTTCTCGAATTTTTGTTATTATAAGGTCCAACACCTTCTATGTCCGTTAAAAAAAACCCCCATTTCTGTGTGGATTTAACTGGAAAATGCCGATTAAAGGCACAAAAATTGAAGATTTTTAGTTTTCATGGACTCTCAAGTTTTGGAAGTCACTTAACTTTGGTGGCCATTTTATCGTTAATTTCACCTCTGAAACAAATACCTTGACTTCTCTTCAAGTTAGATGGGTATTTTTTCCATCCAAATTAAGGCAAATGAATAAGCTTTATGCGGATACCAATAACTCCACATGCCCAAAAATTGACGACCACCTGATTCCACCAGGTCGTAACACATATGCCACTTTTCAAAATGGCAGGATGTGGAGTCTTACACTTACATGAAAAGCAATCGATTTCTTATCTTGTCAGAAACCAGTTGGAAGACTAGTGATTTCAAATGGTGGATTCTGTTGATTGTTCACAAATGATGAAGGTTATAGGGGTAAAAAAACATTTTCTCTTAATTTCCGCTAACCTTATGAAATAACAAGATAAAACATTTCTAAAATAACTACTATGTTAACATGAAAATGCACGTCATATATCCAAAAGCAAACAGGAAGCGGATGTCATTTCCAAACGCCGCGATCAGTCAATTATTTAGCAAATCTTTTTGAAGGCAAGATGTGTGTAATCCATGCAACTACATTAGCAACAAAACAATGACATTTCTTTCAACAACAACAGGCTGTAGGACACACCCACAGAGAACTGCCAGATGGGGAGGGGGCGTATGGAAGGGGGATTGTTGGGG